ATGTATATATATATGTGTGTATATGTATATATATATGTGTGTATATGTATATATATATGTGTGTATATGTATATATATATATATGTATATATATATGTATATATGTATATGTGTGTATATATGTATATATATATATGTCAGCATAGACTTTAGTAGGTAGTTATTTTTTTTAAATAAAGGCTTAAAGTTGCCATCTTGTTTCTATTGTGAGTCATCTTCGCATTGCATTTTGTACAATGTCTATATACAAATTGCATTGTCTTGTGGGTGTTTTATAACGCACTTTATAGTAAATCATATTTGCTCTGCAAACCGCTATCTGCACTAAGTGCACTGTTTAGGGAATAGGAAGCAATTTCAAATTGCCCTAGATATTCATTTGTGGTGCAAACTTACCTGTGATCGATTGCTGGTACTTATATGGTATGAATTAAGTAAAACATTCATTCCGATTCCCTGTTCCATTTTGACAATAGTAAAGAAAAACTAATCACAAGGCCATTTCTAGAGGTCTTGAAGAATGCCTTTTTTTTACTGTCTAGGTCCCTCATGAAAATGGGAAATCTTTTTTTTTTTGGTTTTTATTCCAAAATATTATGACGATCAAAACTTTGCAATTTTCTATTTTTTTCTGAAGATATCAGAGTTGGGGTCATTCCAGAATGCATTAATCAATTCTAATCCAAATCAGGAAATGGAACTGGAACTAGAATTGATGAATGCATTCCGGAATGACCCCAACCCTGGAAGATATTATACATGATATAGGCCAACCTAAAATGCAAGATTGACAATCACATTTCCACTAGCTCCTGAGTTCTGTAGCTTCTGAGGAGGTACTGGACACGGGCAGACCCCATGAGTAAAGTGAGAGGAAGTAGGGGACAGGCTTTTTAATGGAGATGTGAGGCCCAAAGAGGGGCAGCTCTGACTGGGCGTCATTGGTGTGCCTTACCCTTCTGGGCTGAGGGAGAGACAGTCCGCCTCTCAGGATGGGGTTAATGGGGGAGATGGCTCAGCGTGGACAAGCCCAGCACTTGGGAGTAGTTAAAAATATCCCCCTTATCTGCGTACATGTGGCTCCCTCATGTCTATTCTCAGACAGGACAGTGTCCACAGAAACATTTCAGACACCTCACTTAAAAAGGTGACATTTTCTCTCAGTGGAAACCGTGGAAGTTTCCATGTATGATGCGCACTGCTGTAGTCAGAATTCCTGCAGTCCACATTTTTGCTGCCTCCCAGGTCTCTGCCTGACGGTCCACATTTTTGCTCCCAAGTACGTGGACTGTCTGGGGTCCCAGAGTACCGGGTTGCGAAGCATTGGCCAGAATGTCTGAAAATGCATGTCTGACCTTGTCCCTAACGTGAGTGAAGAACTCTCCATGGGGTCATCTTCTCCAGTAAGCCTTCCATGTTATGCCGTTGTTTGCTTTCCAGAACTGGGAGGTGTTTAAGAAGATCACGGGGGTGTTCATCTTGGTACCAGCCCTGGTAGGCTTGAAGGGGAATTTGGAGATGACACTGGCCTCCCGACTCTCCACAGCAGTGAGTTATTTTTAAACGCTTGTCATTATGATCTCAAACTCTAATACCCAAGAAAGTGATTGTGATCGCAAAAGTTTCCAAAATCAAACCACCAAGCCCATGAAGGCTTGGTATATGGTGCCCCTCAGTTGTTATGTTACAGTGGGGATTGCCAAGACGCGTCCATCTGAGTGGCACATAGTGAGATCTCCGTCTGTCCTCCTGTTGCCTGTTTAACATGGTCCCTTATATTATGACAGCAAAAATAATGGTCATCACAAACAATAATTGCGTCTCCATGTTGCTGCCAGTGCTTAATGGTGCCCCTCTCATCCCACCATGTTTTGTCACCTTCAGGCAAACACTGGCCAGCTGGACGACCCCAGACAGCAGTGGGTGATGGTGTGCAGTAACCTGGCCCTCATCCAGGTAACCACCTGAGACCCCCTGCAGCTCTGCTGTTTCCATGGCAGCTTGGCGAAAACAAACGCTGCATGCTCAGTGCTTTCGTGGAAGGCAGTGAACGACAAGTAATCCCAGCAGGAAGTGGCTGTGTTTGATTTCTCCGTAGCCCTAAGTAATGCATCATTTCCCCCGGGGTTTGACTCCATCTGCTGTTTGTAGCATGAATGACGCAGGGATAAACACGCTATAGGCTTTAGTATATAAAACAAAAACGGCATACAAACTGTGTGTGAAGACTGCAGCCTCGTAGAAGTCTGCTGTAAATGAATGGCCAATAATTGGAGCCCTTTTGTCCTCCTGCAGGTCCAGGCCACCGTGGTCGGTTTCCTTGCTGCCCTGGCTGCACTGGCTCTGGGGGCTATAGTGTCCCGGGGAGGGGTGGACCTGGACCAGGCGGCCGTGCTGTGTGCTAGCAGCGTGACCACTGCCTTTGTGGCAGCGCTGTTTCTGGGTAAACTGTGCCTTAGCGTGTCTGGTGTGCTGTGCTGTTCGCATCTGGGCAGCGATTGCTGTGTAGTGAGGATGCTGCACTGAGAAGCAGAATTTGCACTCTGGCTGACTTTCTGTGCAGGAATTTATTGAAGATGAAGTAACCTAATAACTACAAATGACTCAATATAATTTTGCTCATTTTGATAGTAAGTGGTTAGAAGGTCGATGGGTTCAAGAAATAATCCTTGTGTAATGACAGAGAAAAATCTTTTTAGAATACTTTTGTGGTTGCTGAGGTCCCCAGACATGCTTACTGTAAAAGTAAAAGAAATGTATCTATCCATCCACTAACCTTATCCTGGTCAGAGACAGGGGTGAGGGGGGGTATCCCAGGCAACACAAGGCTTGGATAGAACCAGATAGTGTGTCAACTTATCAAAAATCACTTTATGGGTAAAAGAAAAATACTAAGGTGGCTAAGGAGGATTCGTAGAGGATTCTTTAAGGATAATGAAGTAGAAACCTTGGAGCTACACTATATGGACAAAAGTATGGGACACCTGGGAGTGTGTCTGTGAGATTTTTTGCCCATTGATCCTGAAGAGTATTTGTGAAGTCAGGCACTGATGTTAGATGCATAGAATTGTCCAAATGTCTTGGTATGCTGCGGCATTAAGAGTTTCCCTTCACTGGACCTAAGGGAACTAGACCAGCCCCTGAAAAACAACCTCATACCATTATCCCTCCTCCAAACTTTACGGTTGACACAATGCAGTCAGGCAGGTAACGTTCTCCTGGCAACCGCCAAACCCAGACTCATCCATCAGATTGCCAGACAGAGAAGCATGATTAATCACTCCACAGAACACGTTTCCACTGCTCCAGAGTCCAGTGGCAGTGTGTTTTACACCACTGCATCCGACTCCATGCATCCATTCAGCTGCTTGGCCATGGAAGCCCATTGCATGAACTTCCCAGTGCACAGTTTGTATGCTGTGGTTAATGCTGGGGGATGTTTACGTGGCCTGTTTCTGTCGTTCCTAACCACTTTCATTTCGCAATAAAACTTTATCTAGCAGTGAATAAATTTCACAAACTGACTTATTGCAAAGGCAGCATCCTATGACAGCACCACGCTTGAATTCACTGAGCTCTTCAGAACGACCCATTCTTTCACAAATGTTTGTAAGCCTGACTGCATGACTAGGTGCTTGATTTTATACACCTGTGGCTATGGGTCTGAATAAAACACTTGAATTCAATGATTAAAGGTATCCCAATACTTTTATCTATACAATGTAGATCAAAAACATGATTTTTTAATCTAGTATAATAATAAATGTTGATTTGGATTTAACTCTTGGAGCTGTTTAAATTCTGTTGATTTTCAGTCGGTGTTTTCTCTCTTGGACACTACATTTCAAATTTTTAAAGGATGACTTATTTTGGCCAACTTTAGCTTAATTTCCTTCAGCCTCTGTGTGTGTAAGAAAGGCAAGTAGCTGGTCATCTGGGTTCTGTGTTTGGCTTGTTCCTTCTAGATACCAACCAGAACCATTTCCCTCCTCTGCAGGTATTGTAATGGTGGGGGTGATTATTGGCTCCAGGAAAGTGGGCATCAACCCGGACAATGTGGCCACTCCTATTGCTGCCAGCCTGGGTGACCTCATCACACTGTCCCTGCTGGCTGGGGTCAGCAGTACTCTCTTCGAATACAGAGGTACGTGCTTTTTCCAATAGTTAATTATAATAATAGTAGTGAAGGCAAGGCAAGTTCATTTATATAGCACAATTCAGACACAAGGCAATTCAAAGTGCTTTACAGAAACAATTTTAATAGTAATTAACTGCTATTTAGAAAATGCTGGTTAGTGTGAGTGTTTGTTTCGGGTTTGGGGTCTCTGGGTAGGAATGTCATGTTTTGGCGTCATTTACAACAACATTGACTAGCTGCTTTTAGATTTTGTAGCTGGGTGATTTGACCAGCAGATGGCAGCAATACTTCAGTAACACATTAGCAGCTGAAACTTGTCAACTTGACAAAATAAATGAGCTCAAAGTGTGCTCAGTGTGCATTGTTATTATGAGATATGTTACTCTGTATCAGGTATCGTATATTGGCAGCTTCAAAAAAGTACCAAAGGTACAGTACTTCAAGGTGTCGGTTTTCCACTGACATAAAAACTGGTAAAAGTAGGGCTGGAGATACTAATACCAACATCACATATTACGACATGCAGTTTCCACATCGCGTGGATAGCAAAGTCACTTGGTTTGAGAACAGGCTTTTTCATATCTGCATGCTGTACTTACATAATTGCATGGGGGGATTTCACTAAAACATATTTACTTTGCTGTAGGAAATAAAATTTAGCAAGCATAGCATTTTTAATAAATGTTTTAAACATCATCAAGTATATGTTTAAAAATCAAGTTTACTGACACTGCTTTTGCATGAGCTGGGCATCTGCTTTCCAGTCATTTTCATTCTTGTAGTTTAAATCACTCATAGACGTGTTTGTGAGAAATGTATTTTGAACTAATTTTTTGCTTTATAAATATCCCAATATTTATTGCAACAAAGTCACATCAGGATATTTTAATTTTTCCCCCAATATCATGCAGCCTAGTATATTATAGCAAACACTTGTTTAATTCTTGTCATGCCGTCCAGATCTTCTTCTGTTTCTTCCAACCAGATTGCAGTTAAAGCTTGGGTTTCTTCATTCACACATACATTATTGTTACTTTTTTTGCATTGCTTCTGAGGCAGGCTATTTGCATAACCAATCGACAATGGACACGTTTGCAAGTCCCACCTCAAAGTACCAAAAAGTGTCCCAGCCGGTTTGGTACTTGTGGTACTGGAACTTTTGGTACTGGTACTCGACCGGAAGTCAATGGAAAAGGGAAAGTACAGAAAGTACTGTACCAGAAGTACCGTACTTGGTATGGTGAAAAAAACACTCTTTCATATGTCTGTTCTGGTGCCTGTTTTTTTTTTGTTTCTCTAAGGTATTTTGCTTCTTAATAAGCTCATATGTAGGAGAGCCTATTTCTTAGGTTTTTCTTGTTAATTTTAAGAACAAAATCCTTTTTCATTTATAAACCCCTGGTACACTGCATTCTACAATCAGGGTCCAGCAAAATTTAGTAAGGATGCGGCTGAGAATTGATTTATATCAGACAGTTTGCAGAAACTTTATATGCATAAGTTAATAAATGACAACCTACAGCAGTCCGCAGATAGATAGCTGTGATAGCTCAGTAGGCAGAGGAGAAAAACGCATAAGTCAGTTTGCACTAGCTGTAGTGACTGGAAAATGTGACTCCATGTTTTCAATTATTTTCTGAATGGAAACTTGCCCTGTTTGGTTGTAAGTGCGTGTTTTGACTGATTACTCACACACACACTCACACATTTCCCGGCTACAGAGGTGTGGTACCTGTCCCCTCTGGTGTGTGGGCTGTTCCTGCTCCTCATCCCAGTCTGGGTGGTGATTGCCCGCCGCAGCCCACCAATCCGGGAGGTGCTGAAGTCAGGATGGCAGCCGGTCATCGTAGCGATGTCTATCAGCAGGTACCGGAGCGCCTTCCCCATGCAGTTTACTGTATCTAAGTAACAGGCATTCAGTATGAGGCTAAGACACGCTACAAGATGGAGGGTCTCAGTATAAGATGTTCTGTTTCCTAGTATGTGATGCTATGCTACATTATACTGTATATTAGTATGCAGTGTTACACTATGTGCCTCAGTATACAATACTAATCAGGTACTACGACACAATGGGCCTCAGTATACAACGCTAAGCTGCACTACGACACAGTGTGTCTCAGTATACAACGCTAAGCTGCACTACGACACAAAGAGCCTCAGTATACAGTGCTAAGCTGCACTACGACACAATGTGCCTTAGTATACAGCGCTAAGCAGCACTACAAGTGTATGCCTCAGTATATAATACTAAGCTACACTACAAGACAGTGTGCTTCAGTATGCAATACTATGATCCATTATGTCATAGGTCGGTCCTCAATGCTACACCACATTACAATGCACTTTCTCAATGTACATTGTTTCATACAGAAAAGCATCTCAATACGAGACCATATGAATCTTGCCTGGCCCTTTATCAGCATGGATATTTGTGTGAGATACTCTGAGGGTACCTCAGATACCTCTGGCTAATAAAGATGGATTGGATAGTGCTGATGCTGTGTCTGATGCTGATGTTCCACACTCTGTCCATAGCATCGGAGGCCTAATCCTGGACAATACAGTGAGTGACTTTGGATGCATGGCTGTCTTCACACCTATCATCAATGGTGAGTATGGCATAGCTCCCGTTTCCGGCGGGTTTGTGCAGGAGGACCTGTTTGTATAGGGCGGTGTTTCCCAACCCGGTTCTTGGGGACCCGTGGACAGTCCACACATTTGCTCCCTCCCAGTTCCCTACCAGACAATCTTACAGGGAGCTGGGAGGGAACAAAAAGGTGGACCATCTATGGGTCCCCGAGAACTGGGTTGGGAAACACTGGTATGGTGAACTGTGATGTCACTTGCCCTACATGCACAGTGAGGTTGTCAGACACTGATTCCTGTCATGTCCAACACCAAGCTACTTACATAATCCCAGTGTGCTACTTTGGTTACATTATTAGGTAAAATGCCCCTGCATATTCACTTGTTGTGTTGGGACAAATTCTCTCTAAATATCAGTGTGTGCTGTTGTGCCTTGTATTTCCACTGAATGTTGCACCCTGTATATGGTGAACAGTTGCTCTGATCGCTGACTGTTGGGGCACACAGTCTGTCCCGCTGTGCCACAGGAAACCACACAGTGGTGCAACAGAGACAAATTTTCGCATCTGTTTTAAGATGTGCCTGTGGAATGAGAAATTAATGCATGCATTATAAACAATGGGTGTTTGGTATCTGCACCAGTTCAGACTGAAATATTACCCTCCCTTCCCCTCAACTTCCATGCAGAGAGACCCTTATCAGCTGCTTGCACTAGCCCAGGAATCATTGTGTAATTTTAATAACTGTCAGATGGAATCAGAGTTAGGTTTTATGTTTCATTTATTTTGGTCCAGTGTATTGGTGGAATCTACAATTCAAAACAGTCTCCCAGTCATTTCTCTGGAACTTGTAGAAAACTATGCCGTGCAGTGGGGTTCATGACACTGCAGGGAAACCTACAAAAGAATGAGACCAAGAGTGGTGAAGTTGCTTACAGCAAGGTGATTTTTTTTTTCTTTCCTCCACCTTGTAAAGAGAGGCAGCTCATCCGTACAGGCACAGGAGCTTTCACGCACTGCAGACAAACATCAGCAGACAAACATCAGCAGACAAACATATAAACACGTTGAAAGGGTACCGTGATGGCATTTGCCTTGTTGAATACGTGCAGTCTGTTTTAAATTTCCTTTCTGACCCCTTCACTTCCTCCCCTGCTTGTCTGCCTGAGTTTTAGTAAAACAGCCTGCTCTCAAAGATCCCCAATATCCATAGCTCTGTTGTGCCTTTACAGTTATCTTTTGGGTAAATTTTTATCATGGCTTCTTCACTGCTGGTTGCTTTCTGGCTCCTAGATCTATGTTGTGCGAATGCTACAATATACCCCTGTTTCCATCTAGACATATGCTATAGCCCGATAGAGGCTCGTGGTGAGGCTGTAGCCTATTCCAGGAAGCATGAGGCACAAGGCAGGGGACAACATGGATGGATGCCAGTTGTCTGAGTAATGGGAGGGGATGTGCAATTTACAAAGTAAAAGTCCAGTGCTATCTGTTTTAAAAAAGAAATGTTCAAGTGTACCCTCATCTGCTAATTCCACTGCACCGGTTGTACTGCACCACCACTGCAGCTCCTTGTCATGTCAGAGGTCCACTACCAACTGCCTCGTCTTGCTGATGTTGAGCTGCTGGTTCATCTCGCTGCACCAGAAGACAAAGTCCTGTACTAGTCCTCTGTACTCTGGCTCATCTCCATTGTTGATGTATCCTACAATGGAGGAGTCGTCAGAGGATGTCTGTAGATGGCAAGAGCTATTGGTGAAAGTCCAGCATGTAGAGGGTAAACAGGACAGTTCCCAGAGGTGCCCCAGTGTTGCTCGCCACCATCTCCAACACACAATCTGAAGTCCTTAAGCCAGTGTTTCCAACTCCGGTCCTTGGGGTCCCACAGACAGTCCACATTTTGGCAAAAACATGGACTGGTTATGGGTCCCTAAGGACCGGATTGGGAAACACTGCCTTAAGGGAACTGGAAGACCCATTCTTTGGCATAAAGGCTAAGCTAACATGGATTTTTCATGCTCCCTTCCAGGTGTAGGGGGCAACCTAGTGGCAATCCAGGCCAGTCGCATCTCAACATACTTACACTTCTGGAGTGTCCCGGGGGTCCTGCCCTACAAGATGCGGCAGCACTGGCCCAACCCTTGTGTCACCTTCTTCACCGAAGGTAGCCTTTTTTATTTTTACTTTTTTATTATTTAACAACAGGACGCACTAGAAAAGCCCACAGCCCTGGAGAAACTACTAAATCAGGAGTCACAGCTCTAAGTCTCCCACACTGTTATTTTTATCCGCTTTTGTTTGAATATAATGTAGATTTGATGTTCAACCTGAATTGTTACCAATCTATTTTACATACTTCTCATCCAGTAGGGGAGAGTGTGGTTAGTTGGAATATTTGATAACACTTTACTTAAGGCCATATTTTTAGTAATTTATCAATACATTCATAACAAATAATGTATACATAAAGCATTATGAACATGGCTATAAGTATTTATAAAAAGGCATAACACATTATAGTCACATGAATTATGCGTTATGAATGCTTTATGAAGCTCATCTATAATGCGCTATAGATACCTTCATTATTCATCATTCTGATGCCAAATGGTATGACTTTGAATTGTAAGTGGACAAATCAAGAGGAAACACCAGCTGTGGAGTACAATGATTGTTCCCTCCTGTACCAGTTGGTGTTGGTAGCCTGAATACCTCATCTTCTTTCCCTTGAACGGAGATTTCATCACATTTTCCTCCCAAGTGTCAGAAAATATACAAACCTTTCTCCTGTGGCCACATCCCAGAAACAGATGGATGGATATTGTTGTTGCCTACCGCTAGTTGAAAGCATCTCATGAAATGGATCATTACTTTATCTGAAAATTTTAATGTCCCGACAAACCCTGTGTTTCGACTGAATCCGCTCTCCGCTACAGTCACTGTGACGCAGGAAGCACAGAGCAGTGCCCTAAATGGAACGCTGATTGTTGTCTTATTTAAAGGAACCAAGCAGCTTGAACCCAATTCCCCTCGTGTGCTTCTTCCTGGTCCCTCCAGGTGTCAATTCCAAATCAGCCAGGGTGCTGTTCCTGCTGGTAGTGCCCGGCCACCTGGTGTTCCTCTACGCCATCTACCTTCTGCAGGGTTGCCGCACTGTCATCACGCCCACCTTTGGCTGCTTCTACTTGTGTGCTGCTCTGCTTCAGGTACAGTAATGCCATATCCCATGTGCCTTCAGGCTATGGTCACAGGTTAGGCTCCAGGCCACGTCCAGTCAACCGTCAAGACAGGCACTAAGGCCATGGAGTGCTGACTTTGCTACAGTTAATGACAGTCACCAAATGTCCTTGTATTGTTATTATTGCAATTATCTAAGTCAGGATATTTCCCTGCCTTTCTGGCTGTTTGGCAACAGATGTAGGACTGCTCTCTATGCATTAATTACATATACTTTACTAAAACGAGTGTTTGGGACTGGAATGTTTTGGGCATGTCCAGGATTCAGAGAACCTGCTTTCATAATGGCTATTTTATGAGGCATGATGAAGTGACAGGTGGTGTCGTGTGTCCAGGTGGGGATCCTCCTCTATGTGGCAGACCTAATCGTGCGTTTCATGTGGCGGCGTGGTCTGGACCCAGACAACTTCTCCATCCCGTACCTGACGGCACTGGGGGACCTTCTGGGCACGGGCCTCCTGGCGCTGTGTTTCCACTCCGTCACACTGCTCAAGGAGGTGGGGCTGTGAGGGGGCACACCACAAGGTTAGCTTGTCCCCAGCTCTGAGGCTCTCAGTGACAACCACCGGATCTGTCCGTGGTAGGGGTTCCGAAGAGATGGGAGAGACACCTTTACCGGCCAAGGTGGTAGATGCCCATCATCTCAAACCAGCTTATGCTGCCTTTACCACCAAGTAAAAAAAATCACCTGTGCAGCTAGAGTCATGTGTTTAAAATTTGTGCTGCCACTTTCTGTGAGGGGGTGGCTTCAGTGTGGGGCCTTTTGTTATTCATTTACGAGTGTTTTTATCTTTAATTTTGTAACCGTCTAACAAGAGAAAGTTGCTTCTTCAATGCCCTTTGTGGAGTTTTTGGACAGTCAGCTCCAGGACCCACTGTAAAGTTCCCTGAATGTTATGTCCTAGTTCCACAAGAAGGACCTTCCTGAAGGCCGTGTGTCTGGTGTATGTTTTATGCTGTGTTATGTTTCACTGAGTTCCTGTAGCATCTACTCACCTGTCTAATGTCAGCCCTGTCTCCAGGATGAGCCACGAGAAAAACACACGACCCAGAAGGACACGATTGATAGAAGGGGGTTTGGACACAACCATGCTGCACTTATCACTGAATATTAGTGTAACATTTGGTACTCAATGCACTAATATACACAAAGGCTTCTCCCAGCAGAAGCTTGTCAGTCATTTAACGATGCTTTTCCGTCTTCATTTATTTATTTTACAGCTGTGTGTTGTATTTATTTTTTAATATCCTTTTAATGGAAATTGCTTAGTCATCAGTACTTCAGCTTAATAGTTATAAGGGCTTTGCCCGTCAAAGCCTTCCTCACACAGAGCTTGCCTGCTCATCTGAAAAGCACAGAAGTACGTCCAGTGGTCATCCAGTGCTGAAATTACCGAGCGTAACTCTGGTCATCCTGCTACTGGATTTGTGATCAGAAAGTTGCTGGGTCAGATCCCAGGGGGGCAGCATTTCATTTAGGAAAAACCCAGCTGTGCAGCTGCCTAACTGCAGATTTGCTTTGGACTGAAGCAGCAGTCCGTGGTTCCCTGGCAGCTGTGTGTGTGTGTGTGCGGACCTTCCAGCTCTCATTAAATTGCTGACAAACCTCAGTAGAGAGACAGAAATTAAATTATTAATTAGTTCAAATTTAGTGCTTTAGGTCTACAACATAACTGCACATAGAACCATTCTGCCAGGACTTGGTTTAGGGTCACATGAATTGAAATATCTGCTGCAAAGTAATTTAAGTAGATAAGGTGTTTTTTCTACCTCACCTGTCACACTATCATTGTATTTACTAAACATCTCTCTGTGTGCATTGGATTTCTATGAAGAGAGAGTGTGCAGGAGAATTAGCAGTGGATTGTTATTACCTTTTCTAATTTGTCTGAGTAACCTTTAATTTGCATCTGTTGTGATTTGTTTCTGTATTTGTTCATTGGAATAAAGCTTCAGGAGGATACAAGGAAAATACTCTGCAGAGCTGTGTAGTTGCCACTGTCTTGCTGAATGGGGTGGGTGGGGGGTGGCCTGCATCCCATCGGTACATTTTTGCCAAGCGGGGGGGTGGAAGACATCATGATCGACTTGTCGATCAGCCTGTCATTCGCAGTCAACCAGCTGACATTAACAAAGGTTAGTGACATTGAGAAGAACAACAGCTCAGTTCTTCCATTTTATTTCAGAAAAAAAACACAGTGGTGCATTGCACACAGCACACAGTACACAGATACTGCTGCATTCCCTTTGGCAAGTCGGTCACTATGCAAGCTGACCTCTATTCCGGCGTCTCTACAGTCCAGTACCTATTTTGCTTTTCTGCCCAACAAAAGCGAACGTGACATATAAATTATTTTTTTCCTTTTGTTCTCTCTAGTTATTCTCCTGGTCTGGAAATATTTTTGTTCTGTTGGCTAGAGCACATTTCAATTTTAATTCACAGTTTCGTAACATCTCCTATATTGAGCTATCTGAACCATGTGAGATCAGACTGTGGTTAGTTTGACCGAAAGTTCTAAGAGCTACAGAGAAGATGCTGCCCCTGACCACAGTTCTTGCATTTCTGTCCATTATGCTCTTCAAACACCTTTTCACAGACATTGCTGAAACAGTTATAGCTCCAAGAACTCTCTGCTAAAAGTACAAAACACTTTGTGGATGTAGCATGCTATTGTCTGTCTTATGGCAGACAATAAGCTTTGGCTTTTTAGGGCTTCACAAGACATTTTTGCACCCCACAGCCCCAGTAAAATATCAATGAAATAACTGTATTGACGTGCCAAGTGTGTCTCATGACACCCCACATATCTCTCCTATGAACAGCACTCACCATTGTGGATAAAAAGGGGGTTGCATCTGCCTCTGACAATACTTAGCCTTGAATGTATTAGCATTCTCTCATAAAGGGAAGTGCCATGTAACCCATTAGAAAACTCATACTGACACCTATAAGGATTAGTAGTCTTGTGGAGGAGTATCTGTTTCCCCCCCCCATACTGTAGAATGTAGGTAAAAGAATTTAAGCTCATCTTCATGAAGTTCTTCATTATCTTCTGATAAGTGTGTTAAACATCGTGTTTTGCTTTCTCACACAGAACACAAAGCCTGTATGGGTATGTCCAGATGAGTGAGAACCGCACTCAGTCGTGTGGAGATCCTAAACTTCCCAACACTGGACTCTGATCACACTAAGCTTGAGTGGATAAGTCATTACTGGCAAACTGGGAACCAATGAAAGTAACAACGTATTCACTGAAGATTAGAGTTAATTGTTATGCTGGTCAACTGAAGGCTTTGGAATAATGTTTCAGTATTATAACATTATATTTCACATAATATACACTATATGGCCAAAAGTATGTGGATACCAGCTTCTCCAGCATCTCATTCTGAAACCAAGGGAATTAATATGAGGTTAGTCAGCCCATTGTTGCTATAATAGCCTCTACTCTGAGGGAAAGCTTTCATTAGGTGTTAGGACACTGCTGGTGGGGTATTGATGCTGGGTGATCTGGTCCCTTTCTGTGCCTTTGTGTGACCGACCACTAATGAACTTGCTCCCAAATGTTTTACCTTCACTTCATTTGCAGTTGACCAAGGTAGCTCTACTTGGTGGAAAGTCACTAACCTCTTCTATACAAGCACCCACTCTGCTGCTGATGTTTGTTGTGAGAGATTGTGTGACTGTGTGCTTAATTATACACCTATGGATTAATTAAGCAAATAATTTGAGTATCCACATACTTTTGGCCATACAGTGTATCTCACAGTATAATTATTAAATACAAATTTGCAAGACCATATTCAGATAAACGTCAAGTATGATGGAGTGGTATAGTTGAACAGCAAGAAGTCCATTCTATAGAGGTTGTAAAGCTTTTTCTGATAGAAGGGGCTGATGTTTCGAAAGAACTGGGCTGTCATGTCCTCTGTAGTTCTTGTCTTCTTGCCTTGAGTGGGGAAACGCACCTTGTCTCCTGTGCCAGCCTGCCTCAGCACATAATTTGAGTCCTGCTCCAGTGTCTCATACTTTCCCACCACATCGTAGTGAATGAGGCAGGGATGGCAGAGCGAGTGGATCTGCTCCCAGTGCTCATTGAAGGGTTCCTCTCGCTGGGTACGCGGGTCCACCAGGTAGTACACAAACTCCTCAAAGGAGACATCATCACCACGTTCCAGGGCTTCTGGCTGTGGGTTGGGTCGGTGCCGGCGAATGATTCTGGTACCGTAGCGTTTATGGAAGGCCTTGTTGTAACTGCGGGTGAACTTATTTCGATAGGCAGACACCAGGCGCTCAAAAGGCTCCCGCACAAAGATGAACTTAAGGTAGCTGCGTAGGCGTTTGTTGATCTCATGTATGGGGTATTCAGAAAGCGTCCGCAGATTGCTAGGGATGTGGGCCTCATTGGCAGGAATCTTCAGGGGATCAGTGTAGCGCCCCTCCCCGGTCAGCACCATCAGGACACGCTTCCAGTTGGTGCAGGCGACCTTGGGCACATAGCAATAGAGCAGCTTATGCTGGTCATCCACGATGAGGTGTTTGAGGTCCTCCGGGGTCAGCACACGCCGCTTCTTCGCGTGGGAGCGGCACACCTTTTGCAGCAGCTCTCGGCGCTCACGGTGAGTCTCCTGTTTCGCCAAAGACTTGGGCTACGGGGCACAAATGTGATCAGGGGTTTAGGAGGATCAGTTTTGAAGAACAGCAGCAAGACCAAGAGTGAAGCAGGTGGCAAAGCAAGTTGTAAACAGGAAGAAAGGCATGAGACAGGAGAAAAGAGTGAACAAAATTATCAAGACAAATGTAAAAGAGAAGGTCAGTAAAAAAAGGTACAGGAGGTTAGGGTGTCTGATAAACTCCTTTGAGATAATTTGCCAAGTTTCCTTTTGTAACCATTTCCTGCTTCAAGTGGATCATTTTAGCTTCTTACTCTGATATCAGATATTGAGTGTTTACTCATTGTTGAATGACTCAGACGAAGCAGCTGATATACTGATCTCACATCTGATAGCAGAAGCTGCTACTGCCCTCTCTGTCACCAGCATAGACAGTTTGCACCACATTATTAAAGCAGTGAGCAAAATGGAGAAGTAACATTTTTAACAAGCAATAAGGAGTATTCACAGAAACATAGGAGGTACTACAAAAATACTGGAAACCACTTTAATGGGATGAACATGTAAGAAAAGTGGAATGTGTTTTGTACCCTGTCATTTCTCTGAGCTCCACTGGGAAGAGCACAGAGCTGGACGGACGGACGGACGGACGGACAGACGGACTGACACTGACTGACTGTGTGCGTGTGTGCGTGCGTGCGTGCGTGTGTCTGTCTGTCGCGTGCAAGTGTATGCAAGCACCCTTTCATCTCTGGGACACAGGCTTTCGTGGTTTGAGTCCTGAGCCCTGCATCCACCCCCCTGGCTGACCTGCAGGTACTGCAGTTAAGACCAACCAGGATGATGGGCAGTGTGATAAATGTTATTAAGCACGAGTAAAGGACATGACTCACCTGCTCAGTTGTTTTTTTCACGCTCTGCAGCGGGCCTCTTCCAGACACCCCTTGCCTATTTATACTATACTCTGCAGCTGGAAACACACACGACAACAGATTAATGAAACACACTCTCCCAGTTTTTCCCATGAAAAATCTGTCACGTGTTTGCCTGAAGTTTTTTTTAGTTTTTGTTGTGCATTTATGCAGCAATTCACGGGAGCAGTTCAGATTGAGCACCTGTCCCCTTACTATGACGTAAGAGCTCTCAGATACTCGTATGCATCTGACCAGATGAGCCCTGACCGTCAACTAACGCACTCTTTTTTTCCCTTTTTCAATACCTCAGATCTTGTGTCACTAAAAAATAATATCCACTGATTTGTCGCCATTCAGACCTCTGTTCAGACAGGCCTTGAGCCACAGCTGTGTTAATACAATCTGCCCTGCCTTTGTCGTTCAGCAGCTTCTCACTGGGGTGAAATTCACAAGACACCCTTCCAGCATGGCCAAGACAACAGGAAACCCACAATGGTCAGCACTGCATGCATTGCATTAAGCTTTAACTAAACTGCATCACAGAATACTGTCACACTACATTACAACACTGCTGTCAGAAAAAAATAACAACCTTAGTTAAACATATAATTGTTAGTATGTCAATAGATAAAAGCACCTTAATTGAATATTTAACAAGTCAACAAAGCAACATAAATCTATTTAAGAAAGCAGGGTCACCCAGTTCCAGAAGCAATTGGGGGGTCAATGGCTTTACCAAAGGCCCCAACAACGAAATGACTCTGCTGACCCTGGGATTTGAGCCAACGACCCTCTGATCACAGGTACAGCCACACATACACCCACTCAGTATATCATCAGCTGCAATTTCAGTTTTTTTCCCATCCATCTCTAATCCGGTGTTGAGAGAACACAAGATGTTTTTTATCATGCAAAAGACAAGGTGTTGAATGAAAGCCTTAAAAAGATCACTGGAGTACATCGATATTACAGGGCATGCAGTATTGCATGCTAGCGTCACAATACCAAACTTTTTGTTTCGATAACGATACCAAATCATGAATTTCGATTTCAATTATTTTCAGTATTTTTCCTAATAAGGAGGAAAACTCACGAATGTTTTGAATGATATTCAGGTCATTTGCAGGCGGGTCAGTTAAACTTAAATTTGAGCATATTATTCAAAAAAAGCAGGTTGGGTATCACTTTGTCTTTATTAATATTAGTGGTTCAGGTCGTTCATAAAATGGACCCACGTAGCACTGTAAACTATGTACGAATATGTATATTATTGCTCTGGAGAGGGTTTTCAGTCGCTCTGATTTCTTTCATGGACATAAGGGATTGAACTAGTCAGCTATCACCTGTTAGTTTTTGAATTCCTGGCCGGTTTTCAGTGCCGCCTCCCTTTGTGAGACACTAAGACAGTGCTCGCACAGCGGTGCTGATGTGTTTAGGGGCTTCGCCTTTTTCGTACATTTTATAGGTAAAATATCTCGATATTTCATTTCGGACCCCTTTTTGTCAATGAGTTCAAGTGTTACTGAAGTCGCTGCCATCTCTTCTCTGAACCAAATGAAAAGTGCACTGCCCTCTTTGCCATCACTCTTGGATGTTTCCTGTAACGCCACACTCAGCACTAAAGTAATGCCACTGCCGTCAGCACATAGTACAGCGTTTACTACGGAGTCCCTAAAGGGACATAGGTGATTTATATATATATATATTTTTTAGCGTATCTGATGCGCACCAGATACTGTAAAAAAAAAATTAAAAATTATCACCTATGTCCCTTTAGGGGTTCCGTACCGTACAACCATACTGTATGCCATCTCTACCTGTCAGCTACGGTCGGTCACTCCAACCCCAGGTTACTCAGTCTCATAGTTATCATGCACATACAGTTAATCAGCCCATTGTCGCACATGGAAAGCTGACGTATGTATCCTGTTTTCTACACCGTTTTGCTCCATATGGTGAGCCTTTTTTATGCCATGGCTTCAATGCTACAGCTCTCAGCTCTTCCTGGGCAACTCCTGACTGGAGCTGATCAAGCGGACTTTGAGTTTGTTTCCCCTTACAGGCTAAACAGAACAGGGTTGGAGTACTTTAAGGAGTACCAGGCATTATGAGAATTATAATGTCACAGGAACTGTCACAGATTCCACTTTCCCATTTATACACAAATTCATTACTGGTTTTAATATTAGGGAAACATAAAAGTACTCAGTAAGTGACAAATTCATCCAATTTTGTGATAACAGGATTACTGTGTATTACAGAAATACATCATAGGTATTTGTACTATTACCATGCTGATGTTAAGTATTTCGGTAACACTTTACTTGAGGGGGCACAACTAACTTAGTTACTCAATTACTACTCAATAACAAATCATGAACAAATATAGTTTCTGCATGAAATTTATGAACCGTTATAATTGATTAATGATGAATGAATATGGGATCAGTACATAACTAACATTTAGTTTCTGGTTAATTAATAAATTACTACTAGATTATTTGTGCACCATGAAGTAAAGTGTTGCCGGTATTTCAAATGTAAAGAAAGTTTTATGAAAGGTAAATAAAATAATAATAAACTGAATTTTCAGTTATATTACTACACAGTCCTGCTTTGCTACATAACATATATATCAGAGGAAGTTACCCAAGCCGAAAAGAAATTGAGGAAGGGGTTTGTCAGTTTATCATGTAACTTGCCCAGGCCACAGTGACTTGAAATCCAACTGTTATATATCTCCTTTCCTTCCGAATTCAGCAGAGTGAGCTGGGATTGTGAGATAATCTGCTCTCTTTCAGTTACAGGTCAGTTTCTGCAAAAGACCCAAGCAAAGCCAGCCATTGCGTAATATCGGCTCACCCACAAGGGCAGATGTGACCTCAGTGGGTGGAGAGACAAAAATGAGCATTTCAAATAGACTTTTGCAAAGCAATTAAAAACTACAGAAAATATTCCCAATGACCCCAGTGGCAGACCAATGTCCTGAATGGTGATATATCACAAACTCAGAAAAAACGAACTGCAACATCAAACAGCTCATCAACGGAGGAATGAAAATAAGAACCAAAAGTGTTAAACAGCTACATTAGTAAGAATAATGTTTAGGGAACCATATTCCTATATTATTTTGACTTGGATTTCATGATATCTTTACGTTTTTGGGGAACACCCATGACAGGATGCTGGTCTATCTCCGGGCACACACACACAGATTAGTTATCTATATCTTTGTGGGGACTCCCCATTCATTTCTATGGGCACAGAGCTAATCTCCACCAAGACTGATGTATTGTTCAATTTAGTTTTTCTTAAACATAAGGATCCCAAATTTACAGTAGCACCTTTGAAGCTGTGTGTAACTCAGTGTGTTAAGTCTTTGTGCCCAGATCCAGGTTGTGGGTTCGATTCCTGAGGCTGGTACTGTAATCATAGTACTATTGAACCCTTGCACAGGGCCTTTAACCCCAATAACCCCAAAAATGCAGGCTGATCCTGATATATATGCATGTAGGAGTAATATGTCATATGCGAAAATGACCCAATATCTCCACATTGATGAATACAGCACCTTTATTTTTTCTGTTGGATGATATGTCTAAACTTCCAGTTCCCTTAGGGGGTTCATTTAAATACCTGTGAATGAGATGGCATGTTTGCTTTTGTTATTATTAATTATTATTATTATTATTATTATTACAGAGCAAACCCCCAATAAAAATTAGTTTAAAAATTCAAGTTATTACTAGGACAATATTTTTAAAGTTAGAGAGAAAAAAAACTTCAACTGTCCCAGCTAATCGATATCTACCATATATATACCAGAGGTGTTCAAGCTGTGTGCCCCACCCCAACCCACCCCCATGGGGCATAAAGGAATTATGTGGGGGGGAGAGGAAAAAAAGAGCCAGGACCGTGTGGGAGGTTTGAGCTGGGGGCAAATCTATTTTGAAACTGTAAACTTCAGAAATATTAAAAATAACGTGCATGCATTATATGCCTGTTTATGACTCCACCAAATTAAAATAATTAAAATTTAGAACATATGACATGCAACACGTATTGATTTCATTTAAATGGTTGTAATTAGTAATGTAATGAAATTTACAGCACGAAAGTTGCCCAGTTAATACTTACATATTTGGAGGAACCAGAGAAATTTCTAGCTATTAGTGTTAAATATAATGGCAAAGTAACACATAAAACATAAAATGACAATGGATATCTGGAAAATCATTTGATTGTTTGTTTTTTTGTGTGTGTGTGTGTGTGTGTGTGTGTGTGTGTGTGTGTGTGTGTGTGTCAGATATACATTACACTGAGAACCACTACGATGCAACGCTACTTCAGTTTTGGGGCAAATCGGTCTCAAAATTTAATCACTTCCAGTTCGTCATTCGTATAATGTGCGATGTTTTGAGTCACTGTTTTCACAAGACGAAGTGTCTTCTACAGCTGCCGTTTCCTGCCTTTGGAAAATGAGTTTGAAGTTTTTTGAAGTGCTTGCAATATGGGTTCATGTGAAATCAGCACTGCATAACAGTTCTAATTAGGCCTAATCACTTGTTTTCTAATCTGCATTCTTCCTTTTGCTCAAGACCAGCATTCTTGATTGAATGTCCAGGTCAGGTCAGGTTGAGGAGCATGCACTGGTACAGCACATTACTGCGCCCACCTCATGATGAACCCCCCCAAAATGCTAATATGTAGATCTCACAATAATCAATAAATAAGACAACTCTGGGAATCGATCTCCAGCTGAGTAACAAAGGTACAGTTCCTTCTCCACACCTTAACTCAAACTTCCTCAGTATGTCTGACATGGTAAAGGACTGAGAATCATTGAGTCATGCTTGAACAAGAGCAGCTCAAAGCAGAAAGGACTTCAAATTGTGTGTACGGTAACTTGACGACCTTTGCTTCCAAGTGGGTTATATATTTTCTCTTTTTTCCCCCCTTTCTCACTAGGTCTCTGTCAGAGGCAGGCCTTCTCAAAGCCTCATTCTCCCAAAGGCCATTTTTAGTACCTTTCTTTAATGAGTTCCAGAGGCCGAGG